ACAGGTCTTAGGTGAGTGGGCCAAAGCAAAAATTGGGTGGTCTACCCTTCTCTCACATACATTCATACTACCATTCATTCACATATGATACAAGCTTAGAAGCAGAATGCTCTGTCCTTGCTTCACCAGCTCAATCACCTGAGTAGACCTATTCAACAGAAAGAAATGTGAAAATGGCTCCTCCTTTCCCATTGCTCAGTTGTTTCCTGAACATTGAGGCCTTGGCTGAGCAGGAAGAAGTTTCAAATAAGACAATGTTCTCTTGTAATAGAAGAACAAAACTATGGCCACTTGAGTCTTTTGGGCCTCACAAAGATTTTCTGGCAAATCACAAAGTTGCACAGGCCCAACAGCCCTACCTATTGCCGGCACATTACAAATCTGCATTTTGTGTTTCTTGGTGTGATATTGTGCTGGTGCTCTCATTTCATTGAAGTGAAGCAAATAGCAGGATTTGTGGGATGGGAAAGTGTGTTCCTGCAAGAGACTAAATATTCACCCTTCCCCATTTTCTGAAGCTTCTCGGTAAAGGACTACCAAATTCCGACAATGCCTAACTGGATTACCCGGCAACCTTTAACACTCAGAAAGCCATTTGGACCCGTTTCCCACACAAAAGAAAACACCAGGAGCTGCAAAACCCTTTTGACATCTAAAATGAAGATGACACTGCATATATCGTTTTTTACCTTAATGCTATGTATATCTTCATTATGATTTAGCTGCAGCTCTTGTTCAGTCACTAAACACTGTTATTTTTTAAAAACTGTTCAGTCACTAAAAACTAGTAGGACTCCTTCCATGTATTTTGAATAGGAGAACAGCTTCCTGAAGAGTCAAAGTCAGTGCTAAAGGGCTGCATGCATTAAACAGCAAACCCCATAAGTTCGTCAGCAGTAAAAGCAAATGAATCTACCCACATATCATTAAATGTTTGATAACGGGGCGGGGGGGGGGAGCTCAGTAAAGATATAGGTGTGTTTAGTGACTGATTAGCAGATAAACAGTCAAGTGCTGTGAATTGTGTAACATGAGAGCCTGCAGGAAGCCTGTTTAGCAGAGGAATGTAGTGATTTACTTAACTAGCTAGGGCTACTTTCTTGAGTGGAGCTCTGAGCAGATCAGCGGCTGTGCTGGCGTGTGTTTTGAGCGACGGAGCCGCAGCAGAGGGGTTCAAGAGCCACATGCGGCTCTGGAGCCGCGGGTTGCCGACCCCTGGTCTATGCAATGGATCAATGGAATACAATTTCTTCTGTCAATTTCTGGCCACATATGATCTATCAAAGCAAATGCATGCTCATTCAAAGGTTAAGATGTAGAGCTAAAAGAGACATTACTTGAAATCTATGTGTAGCAACTACATCTCTTTCCATAATTGCTCCTTTAAAGTAGATCCCTTGTACTGGGTTGCAAAGGATTTTTAAGATAGGAAGTGAAGTGGACTTGACCAGTGCCTTGAGAAGCCAGTGGAGTCCTGAATTAGCTTTGGTTCCCACTTCCTTTCCACAGTCAGAAAAAGGCAAAACTCTGCGAAGCTGGCTCAGGACTGGCTGAGCATGGAACCAGCTTCACACATAGCCCACTTCACTTCTCTGTACACCCCCCTTAATCAAGGAACACATAACGGTCACTTCTGCCACCTCTCTCAGCTTGGAGCTTCCCCATTCCTGGGATAAAATATTGCCCTATTGTAGATTTTAAAATAAGTCAAATAAAAATTACTTTCGCAATTGCTTAATCAAGCAACATCTAACCAATCCAGGAAGGTACTTTAAAGTGAATCAAATTTCAGTGATTCAGAGGGGTGATGTTCCAGGACACATATTTGTGCAAATGGAAATGAAAAGTTAATTTGGATTCTCTTTCCCCAGTAGTTACAGACTTGGGCTGCTTCTAGCACTAGTGGTGAAAATGCATTATACAGTTATTCTGTCTTTTCCATCTTAACGGATTTTTGTGGTATGAAACAAAGATGGAAGATGATATGGGAAAACATGGGGGAGTGAAAAATGGAGCCTGGACCACCACCTCTTAAAATCCCATGACTGAAATGGGGCAATAGCATAATAACAGCCTCTTCTGGAAGCACCTTCAGTAAAACTTAGTGCTCTGGAGGGGCCCACATTAACAGGCTGAATCTTGCCACTGGTTAGAAATACTGGCATGTAGTTCAAGCTTGTCCTCTGAGTTAATTTAGCGATGATAAGTTAATAATTTCATTTGTAAAAAAAAATCAGATGAGGCATTATCTGTATATATATCCCTTACAAAGTCCTTTTATTGTTTGGTGTTAGTGCCACCTAGTGGTTATGATGCAGGATCATTTCTTTCCCTCACTATTGTTTTCACCAACAATGGTATCTGGCTGGTTTACCCAAGATGGGAAACAGTTTAAACAGTTTTATATTTTCAAAAATAGAGGATCAATAACTGTCTGCAATTTTCCCAGGCAAAATTACCTGGAGAAAACAATCATACTGGGAAAAGTCAAAGGCAGAAGAAGAAAAGGAAGACCAAATAGCAGATTGGATTGACTCTATAAAGGAAGCCACTGCCTTGAATTTACAAGAGCTGAGCAAGGCTGTCATGGATAGGACAATTTGAAGAGTTTTCATACTTAGGGTTGCCATAAATCAGAGACTTCATGAAGGCACATAACAGGGATACTAAAGCTATCAATCACATTTTGAATGTCTGCAACCCTTCATCCTCCATATCATCTTAAGAACCTGGTCATGCTGATGTTGACTTCATTCAGACAACTCAATCCATAGTCAAGGGTTGAGCATAGGTTATCACTGAACTGTGGGTTGTTGAAATGTGGATTATCTTTTTGTCTCATCCCTGCTATGCTAATAAGCCATGGCTGTTAACCACAAACTCATGAAGAGAACCCATGGTTTGTTGGGCTGTGAACTGTGGGTTATTCACTATGGTTTTTTAACTTGGCTGGGTTCAGATAACACAACCCACAAAAGTGACCCATGGTTCAACAATAACCTACATTCAACCCTTGAGCATAGGTTATTGTGTTGTCTGAATCCAGTCATCTTGACTACATTTAGTCATTTTCCCCCAGTGCCCCATTCTTTCCACCAACCTGCTTTATTTGTAAAATTTACCTGTGGAAGAAGTCTGCAAATCTCAAAAGCTTGCATAATTTGTTTTGTTTTCTAATTGTCTTAATAAAGGCATTACAGTATATGGATTATTATTATTATTACTACATGGGTTATGCATCCATTATATGGATTTTGGAATAAAAGTTCTCTAGTCTAATAAAAGCATTACACTATATCGATTTTGGAATTTCTCTTACAAACAACACAGCTGCCTTTGTCATTTTATAAAGAAAATTGTGGGATACATTTTTGGCATATTCCCCATTAAAAAATGATCACACAAAAGCAATGGTTTTCAGTCCATGTAATTTACACAGGTGAAAAATTTCTTCTGTTGAGAGTTACTCATAAAATTCAAATCTCTCATCTTTTGGTAATGCTTACCCATAGACAAGTGGGCAATTACACTGTGAACCTAGGGGGAATTGTATAGGAATACATTCCACTATACTTAGTGGGACTTATTTCTGAGAAAATGTGCACATACTGAGTCTGTAGTTCTAGGAACACTTACTTGTGAATAAATATCATTGAAATAATTGGGGCTTCAGATCAAAATGCTTATGATTAAGTTGCACATTAGATCAGTAGCAATTACTTCATGAATAAACAAAAATTTGGACCCAAGTATTATTCCCTTAAAAAAATGTTGGGCAATTGTAGAGATCTTACTGTCCATCCACTTTAAACCTATGTTCCTCACACTACAAGCTGATACCCACTTTCCTGTGAGTAAGCCCCTCTGAACTCAGTGGGACTTACTTTCAAGTAGATATGTATAGGACTGCATTGTAAAAGCCCTTCATACAACACTTTGGCATTCACTCTCACATATTTTCTAAATAATAATAGTTCAATAAGTCTCTGTAGTTTGGCCATGCAGGGCTTTTTTTGTCATAGAACGCACCAGAACGGCTTTCCGGCACCTTTTTTTCAATGGATTTTACGAAGTGATTTTGAACGGAGTAGCAGATCAGCAGCAAACATCATTAACATAGTGCCTGCAGGCTGCTATGGTGTCCGCTATCTGATAGTGAGAGATAGCTACTTGGGACGCTGCTCCGCTGCTCGGCTTGGGATTGGTGTGTGTGCTTACTGCCGGCGGGGACGCGAGTTCCGGCACTTTTTTTTTTTTTTTTGTACAAAAAAAGCACTGTGGCCATGTATCCCTTTTTATACAGGTCCATCCTGTTTGAAGGCATCTTCTATTTGAGGACTGTCCAGTTCCAGTTTAAAGAGTGATAAGAATGGTTGCCATCAGCTGTTAGAAACTGAACAGCAGGCTGAAAATGCAGGCACGCAAGTTACTTGCTCATAGTCCTTCACACTACAGTGAAATGTATTTTAAGCTAAATGATAATATGCACATCTAACTTTGCATATGTAAAAACTATGCAGAGTGGTTTTTTTTTTTTTTGGCAATGCGCTTCCTTTTTTGGGGGGGGGTGCATTCTTATGTAGCAGCTCTCCGAAAAGTTGCAATTCGGAGCCCCACAGGAAGGGGAAATATACACATCTCGCAAACTTCAGGAATGGTTTCACCACCGGCTGTTGTTTTCCAACGGGGGTGAAAACCTGAGGTCTTGGAGGCTGTTGGAGGACTCCGACGTCCAGGTTTCCTCCCCACTGCCCTCTTGGCTAGGGATGACGGAGCTGGAGTCCACCTCATCTGGAGGGGGCCACGGCTCCTCACGCGTTTCCTAGGAACTGCCCCAGCCAGAAGTCCCCCACCTCCTCCTCGGGAAGGCTCGGCCGCCCGCAGCAGGGCGCTGCGTCCCCAACGGCCTCCCCGGCGAAAAGCGCGGCCTGATAGCGCCGCCCTCAGGACGGCCCCCTCGCTTTCCCGCCTCCCGTGACGCGCCGGACGCCGTTGCCAAGGCGGCCGGGGGAGCGGGCAAACCGAATCGCTCCGGCGGCAACTTCCGTGACGCCTCCGGGTTCCGCCTCGGCTCGCGCGGCGCCATGGCGTTCGCCTGCTTGGTGAGGGCAGGACTGGGCTGCTGGGCCCGCGCGAGCTCGGCCGGCTCGGCCAGAGGCCGTGGGGAGGGGGCGGCGTTTGGGCGGGGAGCGCTGGGCCCGGGGACTTGGCGGCCGGGCCCTGCGAGCTTTCCTCGTTCAGGCGCCTTCTGCGTTGTCCTTCGCAGACCGAGGCGGTCGGTAGCCAGGAAGGGGCGGGGGAGGGAGATGAAGAGAGACGCTTCATCGCGCTAGAAGTTAGCGCTCCTCTTCCTCACACCGGGTGTAAAATGGAGGTAGCGGGGGAGAAGGTGTTGCCGGGCGTGATGTCAAAAAGCCCCGCGGCCTAATAATCTTAAAATGGCACGGAGGGCTTAAGTGCTTGATGCAAAAAAGAACAGATGACACTTTGTGTAGAAATAGTCGTGTGCTGTTTTCCCCTTTTGCCACTAACAGCTGCAGGGATGTAATAGGTGAAGTGTTCTTTGCTGAATCCTTAAGTCTTTTGCTTTACCTGTTGAATTCCCGCCTGTCACGTCACTATTTACGGGGATGGGAGATGGGATGGACGCCTGCTGAAATTTCTCCTTATATACGACTGTAGAAAAGTAGGGTGCCCGGACTACCTTTGAATGTGCTTCCCCTATAAATGTTTGGTAGGGTGGCCTCTCTGAAACCAATGCAATCTGGAACAGCTCCATATATTTTATTTTTTTGAATTTTTTGGCACCCCCTAATCCAGATGGCTTGATGCTGAAGTAGAAAATTGTAGAAATAGATGCTGAAGTAGAAATTTCTTCACATCTCCAGTGGGTGGGTTTCCCCACAGGTAGCTGGTAGGAACAGAATGCTAGAGTATAAATGGACCCTTGGTCTGATCCAGCAGGATTTCTCTTGTGTGAGACTAAAAACTCAGGGAACAGTATCTCATAAAAGAAGTCATCTGTTTCCTGTGTGTTTTATAGGGGTGGTTGGCTTTCAGGGATTGAATGCACTGATAGTGATTCCTCATAACATCCTCCAGCCTGGCCACAGTGGGGAAGTTACTCTGTTGATGGCCTTGCTGGCTGGAGCTGATGGGAGCTGGTGCCCAAAACATCTGGAGAGCACTAGGCTGGGGAAGGCTGCTTAAGTGCTTAATGACACTGGCTTGAACCCAGACTTATCCTATTGGAGACAATGGAACTTAAGGTAGAAATTACTAAGTTGGCCTGTTGAGCTCAGTGGGTCAGCTCTAAGCACGACTATGTTTGTAAAGTGTAACACTTAGGGCACAGTCCAATTGAGAAAAATGAGAATCATCCACTGCAGAGTGGGAGGAGCAGCGGAGGCAACACATTTTTGCCCAGTGGCTGTTTTTGGCTGTCTAGCTAGGGCATTTCAGAGGGGGACGGGATGAGTCTGCAGAGGATACAGGATATATTTTTCTCCCACCAGAATGTCCCTACCATAGTACCCTCTTTCCTGGTCTCTGAGATCAAGTTCCTCACTTCATAGAGGCAGTTGGTTAGGTGCGGGTCAAGGGGTGAGGCATGGATTCCCAGCCCTGAGGTCAGAGCTCTGTTTCTGATCTCAGATCTGAGAATCCAAAATAACCCATGGGTTCCCAAATTAAGTATTGTATGAGTTCCCTATGGGCTCCCAGTCTAGGAGCGATAGGATTCCTCCTACCTATTAAATTTGTCTTTGAAATATCCTTTTAAGGCACAATCCTATGCAAATTTATATAGAAAAGGGCCTATAACTCCTGTTGTGTCCCAGCTAGCAAGCAATGAGGGATTCTGTGCAGGCAAGTGTGTGTGCTAACAGTGAGGGGACAGATCGTTCTGGCCTCCACTTAATTGCCTGCATGGAATGGAATCCCTTATTGTATGTATGTGTCCCAACTGCTTACGGGCAAAGCCGTATTAGCCTCTCTTTAGCTGAATCCCTTGAAGTGGCTTACAAAATGAAACACTAACACATCACAATAAAAATGAGATGTATTATGACAAGTGTGCATCATCCAAAGCCCAAGTATGCGTGTTGCTTCAGAAGTGTTTTACCCATACCAAGATTTAGTCCAACTTGATTTTTCCCCCTTTTATAGGAAGATCCAACATTGGAGAGGCATTTCAAAGGCCACCGAGATGCAGTAACTAGTGTGGATTTCAGTCTAAATAAAAAACAGCTAGGTAAGTTACTAACAGAGCATTATTCTCCTCAGTTCACTCTTTCATGTAAAAAACCTTTGGAAAGTTGTCTCTGAATAATTCAAAATATGTTACAATTTTAATTCCCTAAAGTAAGTGGTACACCTTTAAAAGCCCATGAACATACCCAGCTATATAAAGAGTGCTGCATGTACTCTTAACTAGAAGTCAAACCATATTTGGGCAATTTATGCCTATGGAGTATATGGTTTGGGCTTTTAGCTAGAGTACTTTAGTTGTTATTTTTGTTTGCTATCAAGTCATGTCTGCCTTATGGCAACCCATGAAAGAAAGCCCTGCAAAGCATCTTGTCCGTGACAGTCCTGCTCAGCTCTTCTAAATTCAAGGCTGTTGCTTCCTTTTCAGATTGAAATCTTCTCATATTTCATTTTTCTTTTCTTTTTCTGTCTTTGACTTTCCTTAGCATGATTATCTTCTCCTGTGATTCTTGTCTTCTCATGATGTGAGAAGTATGTCAGCCTCAGTTTTGTCATTTTTGCTTCTGAGGAAAGCTCCGGCTTGATTTGATCTGGGACCCACTTGTTTGTTTTTCTGTCAGTCTAGGATAGCAAAGCTATTTTCGAGCACCATATTTTGAATGCATCAGTTTTCTTCCTGTTGTACTTCCCCTAGTTTTAGTTAATACCTAAGAAGAATGCAGAAAATCTCCTGCATGGTCTTACAGAAGCACAGCCATGCTAGTTGGAAAATACTTGGAAATGTAGGACTTTCTTTCTGTTTAAACATGCATAGGATTGCATTCTAAAAAAACATAGCTACAAACAGTAGAGAATTTAGAGGATATCAACAGAAACATAACAAAAGAGTATTAGAATTAGACAAATCTGAAGGAAAGAAAGTGTTTTTACAAAAACATAAAACTAATGCTGTGATAAAAAGGCATTTGTACCAGCTCCCCGAAGAAAAGAAAAAAAAACAGTAATAGGTTTAGGCTGAGGAAAAGGGATTTTAAACTGAACATTGGGAAATACAAGTTTAGTTGTGGAGCAACTTGGATATTTATAATTCTTCCAATTTGCTTTGCTGTCTATTTTTAAGAAGGAACTCCAAAACCCCTGCTATTGCCAGGGGCTAAATTAGGATGTATGCTTGCTTTGAGTTCTGTGATTAGTGAATATTGTGTTCTTTCAAAAGGCTATTGATATTTCTGCTGACCATGTGTGTGATCTGTTTCCAGTGTAATTTTTAAAAGATGGTGAGCATCTTCTTTTATCTAATCTAGTTAGTGGGTCTATGGATTCGTGTTTGATGATTTGGAGTATGAAACCTCAGATGAGAGCCTATCGCTTTATGGGTCACAAGGATGCAGTAATGTGTGTTCATTTTTCACCATCTGGCCATCTGATTGCTTCTGGCTCTAGAGACAAAACAGTTCGCTTGTGGGTGCCTAGTGTGTAAGTATATACAGGTTCCCTCCCGTCTTATGTTGTGTATGTGGTTTCTTGGGATTTTTTAAAAAGCAAGTTCAATAAAGGTGAAGGTGGCAGCTTATTAACATCGGGGGCAGAAATTATTTTTCCTTGGAAGCAGTTATCACTGACATACTTTGCCTTTAAAAAAGGGCATAAAGCAGGAATATTTAAAAAGATAGCAAAGCCAAAACCTCTGTGTCACTTCAACTAGAGAAAAATTAGTTAGTGCAACTGTATGCATGATAGACATTGAAAGTTCCTATAGCTTCCAACATCCCTGCATTTGCCATGCTGGGTGGGGCATTCTGTAAGTTGTAGTACTTTTTTCTTGGGCTTAGGATAGTGCCCTGAGATGCTCTGTGTGTGTGTGTGTGTGTGTGTGTGTGTGTGAGAGAGAGAGAGAGAGAGCGAGAGCGAGAGCGAGAGCGAGAGCGAGCGAGCGCCTTTCACATAGGGAGTAGTCTTGCAAAACTAGTTTTTACTGGATTGATAGGGAACATGAGTTGAAGACCAGAACAATACTGACTAGTGGTAGTGGTCATATACTGTTGCAGTATTTCTTTCTTGCCTAAATAAGAAGGAACTATTAATTTATCATATCTCATGTTGAATCTTGGAATGACCTCATAGGGTACATTTCTGGGTGGGAACAATGATGGCTTGGGTGTTCAGTTTTTCAGGAATAGGCTCATGCTTGGAAATAATTCCTAGTTTGGCAGTTTTTAGTTTCATGTAAACAGTTGAGTTATACACAAGAACATAAAAAATATTTATAATGTATTGTGCAAGAAAATACTAAGGTGAAGTGTTATACAGATATAATTAAATGTAAATTTCTCACTGGATGTCCATAAAGCTTTTCTGGCTCTCAACTTGCCTCTCATGTTTATATGCCATTTTCCTTTTCACAGTATGACATTTAATGTGATGTACTTGCATGTTCTTTTTTGTACTGTTTTGACTTGCCTACTTCAAACATTCCTTGCGTAAGTTGTCTGAAGTTAGGAGCTGTTCCAGTAACTGAATTTAAGTAGAACAATTTCTTTCAGTACTGTGCTTCGCATATTGCATACAGTTAAGACTTCCCCTTAATGTAAATTTATATATTAGAAACCTGTAGGAAAAGTTCTATAAGCTGTTTGAAATTCAAGGTCTTGGTTTTCTTCATGCTTTCTTTTCTAAATGTAGCAAGGGCGAATCGACTGCATTCAAGGCTCATACAGCAACCGTCAGAAGTGTTCACTTTTCTAGTGATGGCCAATCACTGGTAACAGCATCTGATGACAAAACCATTAAAGTATGGGCTGTCCACAGGCAAAAATTCTTATTCTCACTTAATCAGCACATAAACTGGGTTCGCTGTGCTAAGTAAGTAAAACTGTTTGTCTGCATGACACTGTTGTGGAGAAATAGGGTTAAACTATACCGGGAAGTTCAGGTCTTTTGAGCACAACAGACTACCTGCCCACTTCCAATCCAACGATCCAAACTTGGCCAAGTCAGGTTCCTGCTGATGAACTTCTGTCTCTAAGATAGATTGTGGTTTATATATTAAAAAAAAAGCTAAGGAAATTTTTGCAAGTGATGCTATTTGTGCAATTTGCATAACTTTGCACAAGATAAATAAAAGTCTGCAAATTTTGTATATTGCAGTATTTTGCATGTTTCACTTGAATTGGCACCTGAAACGCATGTGGATGTGGTGTGATTTGTATAAAGTTGGTCAATCTTTTAAAAGGTTGCCTCAGGTTTTCTCCTAGGTAAAACAGTTAGATGGCTGATTTTGATTATCTAAGTGTTTTGATCCAGTGATTGAGGAGAGAAGGCAATACAGGGAATATTGAGTATTCTGGTGTTGTCTGTCTTCTCTCTTCCCTGACTCCTTCCCACTCACAAATCTTTTGCCTCCAAGGTTGCTCTTGCATCCTCACAGTCACAACCAATTCAGTTCTTTCTGTAAGGGCAGAGGAGGGTTTATCTGAGTTCAGAGTCCCAATTCTGACCTCAGAGCAAGTTTCCAAGCTTAGAGATGAGACTCTGAATAATCCTATCAGTGTCTAGACTCTGTCTAGTGGCCATAGGTGTGCTGAAAATCCTATTTAATTCAGTAGGACTTCTGAATAAACCCTTAAAATGCTTCCTTATCATCATGGTTAATATCAAAGGTAATTGAATTTTAGATAACAAAATGAGGGAGATATTGGAGAAAATGAAAATATATATTTATGAAAATAAATAATGGATTTATCTCTTCTATGATGCCATGAAGAATTATTCACCACCACCACCCCAACCTTTCCACATTTTATTGTGTTACAACCTGGAACTGAAATTAATGTAATTGACATTGCCACTTCATATACATAAGATACTAAGCACTTTAAAACTGCAAAATATTGTTATTGTGGCACAAAATTGAAGCAAGCAAAAACAAACTGGCACTTGTAGGTTGCAGAAGTCCCCCACTTTCCCCCCATTGCTGTGACATGCCTGAAAAGGTTCTGCTGTAGCCCACTGCTTCCAGAAGTCACATAATGTAAGAAGTTGAATGGAGTCCATCTGGGTGCAATTCCAGTGCCACATGATTTCAGATTAAATACACCTGCTTCTAGAAGGCTCAGTGTTGGTTGGGATGGATCCAAGATCCAGGTGTTTGAATAATTCTGTAATGCATTGTACATACACCTTAATCCAATACTTCACAGATTTCTTTCTAATAAAAGGTAGACTTTTCTAGTTTATATATATTTATAATGTTACTTCTGCTGCATGTCATAAGAAGTGTGAATGGAGAAATCCATTGTCCTGACTTTGGTTAGAGTTAGTAAAGTAATGTTGAGGGAGCTTCCCAAAGGGGGAAGTACAGTTTGATTTCTGTAAGCCTATTAGTTCTGTGCAAGGGTCTCATTAGCTCTCTATTTCTGAAGTAGTATAGAAACCAGATCTCACTTCTGTTGCCTCTGGCTTATGCATTCGCTTTAACAGATTTCTTTCTTTTAGATTTTCTCCTGATGGAAGATTGATTGTATCATCTAGTGATGACAAAACTGTCAAACTTTGGGATAAAGCAAGCAGAGAATGTGTACATTCTTTCTGTGAGCATGGTGGGCAAGTATCAGAGCAGTTCCTTGGGTCTTCAGGGGCTGGTCCTGTTTTTGAAAAGTGTATGAAGACTGTTCCTATTTTGATCTTTTGTTTTTAAGAGTCATGTATAGCATTATGTATGATTTATAATCCACTCTAAAGCCCAAATGTAACCTTGCCTTAGTGCCTCTAGATCTGCTGTCAGGCTCTTTGGTTCCACTGTGGCAACGTAAGGCTCGTCTTGAGTCCCTTTCAGCTTGGAGGCTGTGTGAATGATTGTGGGCCAGTCGCTGAGTTTCCAGCTAAGCTATCTCACAGCATTGTTGAGAAGATAAAGTGTAGGGAGTAAGAGCATGGTCCCCAAGTGGAAGGATGCGCTCAGTACAATAAGTACTAACTGCTCAGGTCTTCTCTGGTTGCCTTTTGCATGAAGGAAAGGAAGACATGCCCTTTAGGAAGATGCAATGTTATGACAGTGCGGAGAGGTCAGTGCCTCCCCGGGGTGAGCAGTATTCTTCAGGGCTGCTTATGCCTGCCCCCAAGGAGGTTAGTGGCTGTTTTTTCAATCCCTAAACTGAGGCAGAGAGCTTGCAGTCCTGCCACCTGTGGATTTCCTTACTTCTTGCATAGAAATAAGGCTATTGTCATGCTGGAGAAAGTCTTCCCATGTGAGATTGGCCTGTAGAAAACTTTAATATCCATTTTTCATTTTAAGAAAACTTAGTCTGAGATAGTAGTACAAACCAACAGAATGCATTTAAGAGCATCTTTGGATTTCTTACATTTCAAACTAGTATTTTGTATTGCTAGCAAAACTAGTATTTTCACTTGTTGATTGTATGGCTAGATTTTACATTCTCTGAAACAGAAGAGATTCAGTTTTGCTTTTTAATCTTTGCAGGTTTGTACCTCATGTAGACTTTCACCCAAGTGGTACATGTATTGCTGCAGCTGGCACAGACAACACAGTGAAAGTATGGGACGTTAGGATGAATAGGCTTCTGCAGCATTATCAAGGTAAGCAGCACCTTTTCAGAGTCTTACTCTGTTAACTGTAGAGCTGGATTCTCAAGCAGAATTGAAAACTTAATAGGGAATAATTTGCATCCTCCCACAACTGCACCTAGCTGTAAGAAAACTTTGGTTTAGAGTCACTTTTATATAAGAAAATAACATTAAAAATAAGTACAGCCACAAATAAAATGATTTTTAGGAAATCTTGTTTCATGATTACATCATGATGCACAGATGGCTTAGTTTCTGTTGCAGACATTTGTTTTTAATACTGCATCAGGGTTTCTTTGGGCACAATCCTATCACCTCTCAGTATTGTCTTAGGGAGCATAGAACAGGCTAGAGCTGGGATTCTGTCCCTGGAGGACCCTCTCTCTGCTTTTGGCTTAGTCCTCTCCATGTTGGCTGCAAAACCTTTTTGCAGACAACTCGGAGGGAAGGAGTGAGACATCATGGTCCACCAAAAAATCCTGGCTTTGGCCTGTCCTCATGAAGTAGGGGGAAAACAGTTAGGTGGCCAAAATTGGCTGTCTAAATGTTTTGAAGAGTGGGTGAGGGGAGCATGGTGGTGATCCTAGCTTCCGCATTCCATTGGATAACTATAACCCTCAAAGTTTAGAGAGTTAGAGGCAACCACATGGAATGGCATCCTCTGTCTGATACAGTAACAAACCATGCAAAACTCATGTAAAGGAATAGTGCAGCTGAAAGGAATTCATAAAAATAAATTATGTTTGGGGCATCACATTATTTTAAAAATTGCTTTAGGTTGCTCGGTCCAAAAGTATTTTGCAGATTATAAGCAGCCAGTGTGCTTGTTTTTTCCTGTTTCCATCAAAAGAGTTCAGAATTGTTCAACTGCTCTGCCCCAGTGGAGTGCTATTCAAAAGCCAAAAGTGCTATTCAAAATCAAGGCTTTTGCAGTTTAATTTTTGAAGTTTGTAATTTTTCACAGTTTAATATAATCAATGTTGGTCATAAACATTCAATCAGCATTTCTAAGTTTCCCTTTACGGCTCAAGGCTTCCTGAGCTTTCTCTAACGTCAGCACAAATACATGGTGTCATGATAGGGACAGTGAGCAAGGAAGAAAACAATCATGAAAGGCTGCAGGAGGAGGAAGAGGGAAATACAGGATAGCATAAATGCAACCTATTGAACAGAAGGGTTGCAGGGTAGTATTACTGCTAAACCTGATTCTATTATTTTACTGCTTATATTCTTGTCAAAAACTAAAGGGTATGCTGTGTGTGGCTTTTGATTATTTGTGTGTCACTTAACCAAAAACAAATAATTAGAGCTTGATTTATTAACTTTGTGTTTGTATTTGTTTTGCTTTTAAATTACGTTGATGACAGGCATTGGGAATCTCTGAGGCAGGTGCCTTTAATTGGTACATCCGTTATCATTTGTTGCTGTGTTTTATGTAGAACATCAAGTCTGAGCTGCTTGAAAAACTCAAATTGCTATCTTGTGACTGTAGTGAACAGAAAAACGGTCTTTTAACCATTCTGTTTTAGGATGGGTTTGTGCCTTGGAGATCTTGTGCCTTTTTATTTTGTGTTGTATCCTTTTATTCATATCTGTGTTCACAAAGTATGTTTCCTTTTGTGTTGTTGTTTTTTGTAGTACACAGTGCTTCTGTGAACTGCTTGTCTTTTCACTCCTCTGGAAACTACCTCATTACTGCCTCCAATGATTCAACTCTAAAAATACTGGATTTACTGGAAGGAAGACTGCTCTATACACTTCATGGCCACCAGGTAAAGAGAATTGCTTTAAAAAGCAAGCACTGGGCTGGCATAGACCTTTTAAACCTCTGTGTTTGCATTTCATAAGAAAATTGGTGTACTGTACAGCTTGTATATTGATTTATTTATATGGGTGCAGTTGCATGAAAGAAAGATGCCATTTTGAAACTTCATGACTTTTTTCCCTTTAAAAAAATGTGGAGAGTCTTTAAAACATCATGCATGAAATAAGCTTACAATCCTGTGACCCTTGGGACAATAACCAGCAGTGATAAGATGTGTTGGATATCATGCTGGGGATGGATAGAGAAGTCAGATATTGGAGGGGGGATCCTGCTGTGCAATTTCCCTCCTAGTTGCTGTGGAAAGACTCTCTCCCTCGCTTCCCTTGATGGCAGTGCTGCAATGTCAGTGGATCAAAAATTCCCTGAGCATATTTAGAGGATCAGTCAAGGCATTGGTCCACAGTATCCTGAGCCTTCCTATATTTCTAGACTGTCCTAGAACTGGGGCAAGATATGCTATTCCTGGAGCTGGTGGTGTACACCATTTTGTCCCCAATGCAACAAGCAGAAGAGAAATCATAAAAGAAAAGAGGAGAGAACTAAAAGGGACAAAAAGAAAAACAGTATGTCTCTTTCTTTCTGTTCTGCTGCTCTGTGCCCAGCAGGGGTTTGGAGAAGGTGGTTTCTTCACTTTTGGGTCTCCCGCAGCCCTTTAGAAGGATTGCACAAACAGTTTTTATTTTATTAGAGGATTGATAGAGTTTCCTTCAGTGGAAGTCTCCCAAGATGGTAAACACATTAATACAAGCAAAGAGAATAAATGAAACAAAGCAAAATCTACAATCTGAAGTAACAGGCATGAAATCAGAAGAGTAAAAAAACTCCAGTAACAGACAGAGATTGGATTTGGAGAAGCCACCATGTGTGCAGGGGTCAGTTACAAATCCAAGTCTTCTCAGGGGTTGCCATGTTGTATGAACCCAGCATCAGAGAGGGTAGTTTAACCTTCACCCATCTTATGCTTGCTGGGTGCTCACAATACACCACACTTGTGTGGATGCCTCATTGAAAATGGCAACAGCATGTGCTATATCCTTCTGTTATTTAACCTGCTATTGGGCTTTTGTGTCATTCAAACAGTCCCATTGGAACACAAGCATGCTGGGGTGCCTGGGTAAGTAAAAGGTAATGGCTTTCCAAAAAGGAAGGAAGGAGGATTAGCGCAAGTTTCTTGGGAAAGGATTTTATCAAGGGTACCATGATTGAGGCAGCCCTGTCCCTCGTCACCATGTGCCTCTGGGTCCCATGAGGGCCTACAGGTATTGCTGAGAAAGGAGGAGGTGGCAGGCTGCTTTGAAGTGTTGCCTGGTAAACCTGAAAGCAAAATGGATACAAGGAGAGGTGCTGCTGCCTGGCCTTGATAAGCTTGAGCAGAGTGGAGTGACGGGGTGGAGGAGTCAAAGCAGCATGGGGGAGGAGGACGGCAGAACAACTGGGGACTTGGGGCGGGGGAATATCATGGAAGGTAATAGGAAATAAGAGTGCACAGAAAGAAGATAGGTAGCAAATGGCAGGTACGCAGGCACCCCCTCACACCCATGGGGATAAAAGTCAGCTCTACTAGAATACAACTTTGATGAAAACAACTCATAAATAAAACCATTATTTTCCCTTTCCTTCTGTAAGCTAACAAGGAGGAATTAGGGTGGCCAGGAAACTGCTGAACTATATCATCATCCAATTCCTGTCGAAAACTAAATACGCTTTTTATTATGACTAACTGCAGTATCCTGATGCTCATATATGTATACTGTTTGTTATACCAACCGACAGAGATTTGCTAAGGTGATGTACCATTTGAAGGATTTTCAAAATTGTAGCTAAATATTTGTTGTTTGTGGCTATAGTTAAAACAGTGTTAAGGATGTAAGCATTTCTAAATCAAGTGTCAGTTCTGCAGCAATTATCAGTCACCTTGTTAATTTTTTAATAATTAACATTTTTGTGCTGAAAACACTGTCCAGTTAAGATTTGGTTCTTATTCTGACAGTTGAGTGGTGCTTTGGGATAATTACTCATGCGAAAAGCCTTGGATTCCTTAGATATGCTTTGACGTAACTATTGATGTACCAGGAATTCATTACCAACTGATTAGTTCTAGTTTACATGAGGAAGACTGCCAAGCTTACATTGCTGTCTTTAATTATAGTGGTGCTTATTCTTCATAGCAGAAGGATTGTTAAGGAAGAGAAGTTTAACTCTCAGCTGACATGGACAGCTGCAAAATTTGTATGCTGTGATTGCATCTTGAGTGTCTCCGTTTATAGACTGCGCTCTCCTTGAAATACAAACAAAACTTTGAGTGAATACATTCACTTGTACAGAAACAGGATGTTCCACAACAAAATCATTAAACTTGTGCAAACGTATATATACTATTGATACATTTATACTTCTCCAAATTTTATAGGCCGTTTGCAAAGTTCCCCCCCCCCCCGAAAAACACTTTTTCTATTTAATAAATGAGCCCCATAGTGTGAAGTAGTTACTGGGATAGAAGTCATTCTTAAACAGTTCACTGGGTACTTAGGCTTAGGGTGCATTGCTGCCGGTTAGATTAAACCTTTTGACCTGAGAGATTTCTGAGTATCCCTTTGCCATGCCAAGCTGGCAACAGGGTGGGTAGAGCAGTGGAGGCAGTTTTCACCTCTTTGTCCTTTTTTGCAATGCTTTCCCCTCTTGGTAGACCTCTAACTTCATCTAAAGGAGTCATATTGCTGGGACTTGAGTGGCCGTAGGATTCTGCAGATCCAAACTTATTTTCCTCCCACACACTGAAATGCTCTGTTCTTTTCCTTCCCATGAAGAGTAGCCTTGGAAAGTACACTTCCTCTACACAGTTCTTTCTGCAGCAGTAGCAAGTGGGTGAGAGAACAGACTAAACTTCAAGATTTCTTTCCCAAGGTCATAGGACTGTGTACATGCACAGGAGGGGGACTCTGAAATAACCCGTGGGCCCTGGGATGTTCTCTCAGGGGGTTGCAAGATCACTCTCCCCATGACACAGACATCATTATCGTCACAACTACTGTTGAACAGAGTAACGCAGGAATGTAAAATATATTGACTGCAAATGAGATCTTGTTCCAAGTGATGAACTAGGATGAATAATGCCCACAGTTGGAATGAATGAGTACAGTTTTATTATTTTTAAATATTTTCATTACTGCCTTTTTAGGCAAACCCTTTTCAAGTGGTGTATTAAATAAAGCCATAAAACAATAACATTTGGACTATCTTAAGGGAGGTGGACAGAGGACAGAGCAGATTGATGCAAAACAATCCTTCTGATGTGGTGTTTGTATTAAAAAATTTTTTACATTTTTTTTAAGAACATCTAAACCACCTTTCATAAAAATCCCAAGGTGGTATGCAAAAACATACATCAGAATAATAAAACAACACATTAAAATACTACAATTTAGTGCAATCCAGGGCAAGTTTTACCTTTTAGTGGAATAAAGCATCAGCCATGGTCTGGGTACATCCATAACTTTTGCTGAAAGATAAACAACATTAGCACCTACCTGAATTCAAGGAGAATCAAGAGAATCATAGAATGGTAGAGTTACAAGGGGCCATGAAGGCCATTGGCTCCAACCCCCTGCTGTTGCAGGACCCCAGCTTACACCATCCCACTCAGATGGCTGTCCCATTTCTTTCTGAATGTCTCTAATGTGGGACTATTGCCCTAGGAGAGTGCTGCCTCAGAGAAGGATTGTTTCCTGGTTGCTGCCCAATGTAACTTTTCACACTTAGGCAGTACCTGCTCAGCCAGTCACAGTGATCTGACAGGACCGTAAGGGACAGGACACACTTCCTAGTACCTTGCTGTGAACTGCCCACAGAGCTTTAGCAATGGACGCTTTAGAAATGTTAATGATGATAATGATAATGATAGACTGTGTGTAAAATAGGAAAAATTAAAGTTATGTTTTACAGATCACCTGTCTTGAAAACTGAGAAATTAACATTTTATTTGGAGTCCCCCCACCCCCTAAAAGAGGAGCAGTGAGCAGAAGCTTATTAGAAGAATGAAGTCCAGCAATGGCATGGAAGGCCAGTGTACTTAAAGGGCACTTAAAGTCTGGAACCAGGAGATTACAAACCAAGGCAGGAATGGTTCAAAGTAATAAAGTCTTGAGACAGAGGTTGTCAAAATAACACACAATCTTAAAACTCTCAGGCAGTACCTTGGAATTAAGAGGAAGTCAACAAAAAGGATAATATTTTTGGAGAATCACAAGGCTGTCTGTACTGGAACTGGGTAGCACAGCCTTGCATCTAAACACTAGTCTGATAGGTTAACTGTCTTAGGGCAGGGTATAAAATTTTAAAGTTGTTCAGTGTTTTAATTGTAAGTTTTCTTGGGGACCCAAGTTGAGCTGAAAGGTAACTCATAAAGGTAATGCAAAGAACAACAATGAAAAAATCAGTGATAAATATAATAAAAATATCAAATACTAAAATATTTTAATGGAAAAAAATAGCTCCCCCACCAGACTTCAGGCTTTTAGTCTGTTCAGCAAATATTTTAGTCTTACTGTATCAGTTGTTCTTTTGTCTTTACAGGGACCAGCTACCTGTGTTTCTTTTTCAAGAGCAGGAGACTTATTTGCTTCTGGAGGCTTTGATGAGCAGGTAGCTACTTTACATGCTCTCAGATGATAAGTGTATTGCCTATATGCCGAGTGTGGAGGTGGGATGGTATTTGACAGGTAATGTTGCCCAGCTCTTGTCATTTCTTCTTTTATTGTGGACGGTGTTGCATTGTCTCCCCATGGAGATAATCCTGATGGAACTGAATCCAGGAAAATAGTGACAATGAGATGAAAGAGTGGCAACTCGAAAATGGCCGTGTTGCTGTTTTTCTGTTTACTTTGTTCCCTCTGTTTTCAAAACTGTCTCTGCCCTCCAAAAGATTGGAATTTCTTTTTCAAGCTGTTTAATGAGATTTTGAAAAAAATATGGACTGCCTTTCTATGAAAATGCTCAAGGCATAGAGTTTATATTGTCACGAGAACCAAAGCAGCAGTTTGAGAGAGCTGAAACACGATAGCTTGATGTCAAAACCAAAAATGTGCTCCAATGGGCTTGTTCTTCAAGTTGTACCACTACTGCATGAGAAGTCCTGCCCTGCTGCTTAATGATCTGCTATCACAGCTGAGTGGAACCTGGAACTCTCCAGTTGATTTAACAGTCCAGAAAGGTACACGGGTAGGCAGCCCTCACAGACCCCCAAAATAGACCAGGGCTTATGTCAGAGCTATGTGGGGGTCGTTTAACCCTCTCATGACAAAAGAACCTCTGAGCGGGGCTTGCATATTCAACATGGTGGCTGCATGTGTGGCAGCCTCACTGGCTTAAATAACTCAGTGTGAGCTCCCATGCTGCAGAAAGAACTCCATTTGTATGTTTTATAGGTTTCAATTATAGCTGCCTGAAAGATGTATGTGTGGTTATGTTTTGTCGCCTTCTGTTTTCCTAGCATTTATAGGTAATTGGTGTGTTCGTACATAATGACAAGCCATGCTGCCAACTGTGCAGGTACGGCTTGTTGTTACATGTGAATTCAGCAAGCGAGGTGAAGAGTGTTTTGTTTGGTTTCCATGAAACCCCATGGAGAATCAGCAGTCTGCTTTACTGTATCTGTGCTTCTACCACTACTTGCTGTTAATGTGTGCCTCTAGTTGCCATGTTTTTACACAGTTCCTATGTCTCCACAAGCCTCTATTTTCCATTGGTCTGATCCAGTTAGCAAATGCTGATATGCTAGTAGCACTGTTCTAACTGGCTATCTTTTCACTCCCTTGCTTCACTGCTGGCAGGTGTGCCTCTGATGCCCTTCTGCCATGATGCCCCGCTGCTCTACCACTGTGATGTGCACCCCCCCAGCAAATTTCTGTCTCTGTGGCAGAGTGGCAGGGCATTGTGACAGTGGAGCAGCAGGGAAGCTGGGCATCAGAGAGGCACATGTCAGCTGGGAAGAAAGGGGAACACCTCCAGCAGCAGCAACTGTGAGAACAGCCATGCCTGTCACTCCTGGCTGGCTGCTGCTCTGGATTGGATCAGCATCTCAGATGTGGTAAGTCCTGTGCTTGTCTTGCACTGGGAGCAAGTGAACTTGTGTGGCAAGGAATGTGTAAGCAGTGCATGGACATTGCCATCAGGGTGAATAGTCTGTGTCCCCCACTCTGTCTCCAGCTGTCCTTGCAGACCTCACACCTTGCAGAGATACTTTCCCAGGCAGATGCCCAGAAAAGCATCCTTGGGAAAAGTGTGGCCAGCAAAGCATGCTTCCTCCATCACTGGCACCAGTGCCTGCACTGCCCTGTGTGCTGGGCTGCTGGGGAGAGGCAGTCCTGGAAAAACCTTTCATCAACTTTGATTTACCAACTCGGCTCCTATCTGGACAGGCAGAATCTGGCAACAGTAATCTCTGCCCTGGTAACCTCGGCTTGACTGCTGTAATGCACTGGACGTGAGGCTGCCCTTGAAAATGCTCCGGAAGTTGTAATTGGTACAAAATAGAGCAGTGCATCTACTTGCAGGGACTGACAGACAAGATCAACTATCACTAGTCCTGTGCAATCTCCACTGGCTGCCAATTGCAGTTCAAGGTGGTTGTATTAATATATAAAGCCTTAAACTTAGGACCTGATTATTTGGAGGAATGTCTCCACCCATATGTACCTACCCATGCCTTAATATCAGGCCTTTTTCTGGGAGCTGCCTTTAAAAGATGTGACGAGGGCGACTGCTCAAAGAAGGGCCTTTTTGGCAGTGGCACCTTCTTTATGGAATTTATTTCCTAGAGAAGTATGCCTGGTGCCAATGCTGTTCATATTCTTGTGCCAGGCAAAACTTTTCTATTCACTCAGCATTTTAATGTTAAAATGACATTAATATCTATATTAAGGTCTTTGTTTTACTTTTCTGCTTTGGTTCTTGTTTTTATTTGCTGTTATTGGGATCTTGTAGTTTAATTCGTCTAAGTTTTTTTTTTTGTTTAGCTTTACTTATTGCTTAATTGGAATGTTTAATTGATTCTCACTTTGTTTTAATATATTGTGCTATGTTTGGATTTTATTGGACATAAACCTTTTGGCGAGCCAAAATGACTGAGTGAAAGGTATACAAAAATTATGAATAAATAAATAAATGTGCAAATCCAGCACAAGAGAGGGAGAGCATTGGGTACATGAGTAATGATGGAGGGGGGAGAAGTGCAGGTGGCTATTCCTGCATAGCATGGAGTGTGGCAGCAGTTGGCGGCGGGGCGGGGGACTGCTTTGTTGCTCCCGCAGAGCAACAATCCTGCTCTATGAATAGATAGTGGCTTTGCGGAGCAGCAGGAAAAAAGAGTTGTGGGTGGCTGAGAACATGCCCAGGAGAGTCTGTGGGCCAATGGGGGAGAGGCAGGCAGGAACAAGTGCATCCTGGGATTGATTTCTAGCCATGGGGGCTGATGGGATATATGCTGTCATTTGGAGGGCAGATGGAAGCATGTGGAAACTACTTGTGAGGACAGAAGGTGAGATACTATGCAATAACTACATGCCATTGTTTAGCATTACATGTGAGCACACCCAATAAGGGTTTCATTTGTCTTTCCTGTGTGTAAGTGTGAGAGAGTATGAATAAACATGGGGCTGGGTGAAGGTGAGTCTGTGACTGAAGGTCAATTAGATATAATCCCAAGTTTATCTACATGGCTGTAGTAATTTTGAAAGCAGATTATTTTAGAAAATGTTGCTAGTTAATTTATCTTACATTTTCCATTGTGGCTGCCATGCTTAACTTTGAGAGACCTTGATGTGTTCCAAGCTATTCCCTGAGCCCATTCTTCAGAAGCTGAAATTTTATAACTCTTATTGAGGCTGTTAAGTGTAACTTTTGTATTTGAGTGGGGTTTTTCTTTGAGAGGCATGGGTAATACCTCATTGTATTCCAGCAAATATATTTTCTGGCATTTTTTTCTTTAATTCTGGATAAAAGTTCTATTAATCCCATGAACCCTAATATTTTTCCAGACATCTGTCAAAATAGTTGGCAAAGTACAAACTGTTTCAAATTGGCTTTATTTTGCAGGTGATGGTATGGAAAACAAACTTTGATGCTGCTGATTATAGTGATGTACTAAAAACACGCAAATGTAGTATGAATGTGAATGGTGCTGATTATGGAGATACAGTGAAAACACAGAAATCGAGTGTGAATAGTGTTTTTAACAATATGGTAAGTTGATACCTTTTCTAGAAATTTAGGTGCTCTGACTACTATGAAATGTTTGCAGTTTGAGTTTTCTTCAGTAAGAAACTGAGACTTCTGTTTCACCACGTTTGCATCCTTCTTGAACTACCTGATGTGTGTCAATGGTAAAGAAAATCAGACCCAGTGAAATTATGACAATCTGTATTCCACTGATACTGGTTTTTAGAAATGATTATTTGTAGGTATTCCTAGATTTTTAGACTTGTTTTGAACTTTACTTAATATATTTGTATGTCACTTTTAAGGGCAAAACCCTCTTGAGTTGACTAAACACCTCCAATGCTTAATACATTAGTAGGTATAGTTTTGAGGCTAAAGCCTAAGGGCATTATTTTCCCCTTACAGAAAGACTACATAGGTTCTGTAGTCTTTCTTCTTACTTTTCTAAGCCATTTTGTACTATGAAGTTATTGTCTTATTACAGTGTCCCGAATATTTGTAAGGAACAACAATATGTTGTAAGACCTGTGCTCAATCTTCTGAGTGTGTTTACAGTGTATCTTGCCTAACAATTATCCCTCAAAGGAAATCGCATGCTTCATTATAATGCATAGTTGTTCAATGTTATTCTGCTTTTGGAGAAAAAATATATGGAGTATTTGTAAAAATTGGCAGAACAGACCAACAGTTTTAGAATTTGGAGTTTTACAATGCTGAACACTCTCTTAAATACAAATGGCTCATTAGATAAGAATGGAGACAAGAAAGGAAGTTGGAAACAAAGAAAAAGTGGTAGGCATCCTTACTGATCATTTTTGTCTTGTCCCATGTAGGTCTAGGATATAACTTGTGGGAATGAAGAAGAAAAGCATAATGCTGCTCTCTCAAAGAAGTCATTTTACAGAAATGACTGAAGGCTGGTTTGCAGGATCACTGTAGCCCGCTGTGGCTTTCAGTCTGTGCCAGTGGCCATTTTGTGAACATTGAGTCTGTAGCAGTCAGTCACCGTGGTTTATTGTGTTGTATAGACCAGGCAAAGACAGCTTATGTGAAGTTTCTATGACCCTTGCATAACTGTAAAGCATCCCACAGGTTATGTAATAGTCATTGTATTCCCACATATGCCATTTGTTTTGGGTTCACATGACATGATAAGCCACAGTGACTGGTCACTGCAGTTTAAATATTCAAATGAGTGTCTGAGGCTAGCTACTTAGAGTAAATAAGTCATCACTGGCTATGTTGATCGTGTGTATTAAATTGTTGTAGTTGGTCTATCCTGTAAGATCCTCCCCCTCTCAGCATTCTGCCTAGACAAGAGGTTTTTAAAACTAATTTTCTATGGGTAGAATTTTGACCACTTCATCATGCAACCTATTCAGATAGGAAAGGAAAATACTTTTCTGCTGTATTGCTGCTCCTTCTGGTACAGCTCTGAAGGGATGTTCCAAATGAAACTTTTATCATGCTATTACCCTGTCTCATTCAAGCAATTTAACAGGGGTGTAGATGTTGCAATTTTCCATTTGTAGGCTTCCCATGTTTTCCCACCACTTCTTCCATCTTTTTTCTTACCAAAGAAAATGGGTTAAGAAGGAAACCCCTTTTGGAAGCACCCTAAGCTTGAAGTACAAAGACTCACAAAACATAGCAATAAAAAAACCATAACATCTCTTCGTGGAAGTCCTTGCTGACTATTAATTTGGATCGATGAAATATTGCTAGCATGTGTACTACTAGACATCCAAAATTCTTTCTGTTGCTGCATTTCAGTTGCAACTTTGTCAGGGAAATGTTCATAGTAGGCTTTCAGTGTTTAAAGCCAGGTAACATATGCTATTTAAGTGATGCTAATGATCCTACACAAATATCATCTCTAAGGGAAAACTTATATGCTGTTGTTTCTGAAATGCGCAAGTAAGCTCTCTTCCTTACTTAAGCACTTTTAGCAAAACTCACTTGCTAATCTTCATACATGGATTTTCCTGTACAGAGTTTGATATGACCTTGACATAAAGTTAGGCAGAAGGGTTTGTTATTTTGCCCTGCACATACTAACAATTCTAGCAGATGGAACTGGGCTGTAAGCAGTAAAATAATAAAGTGTACTTGAGCTATGCAACAGAACTGCAGCACTGGAACTCGGGAGATCTGAGGAGGAGATTGAGAGGAGGAGGAGAATTATGTAAGTTGTGTTGAGTTCCTTGGAAGGGAAAAGGGATATAAATATAATAATAAAAATGGAGCTGCTGAATTGATTAAGAAACAGGCTCTTATCCATTACACTTACACCAAATAGGTACAATGATAAATTAAGATGATATCCAGCATTTTGTACAGTAGAAAGTACTGTAGAAGTGTTGGTGATAAATTTCCCCGCGGAAGATAGGGTTGAGCCTGACTTGGATGAACGCAGGGCCAGCCCAGTGCAGGCTGCCCTCTCTATGAATGGGTGCCTGTGAAGAATATTATATTTTCGCTTTTTGAAAAGCAAAATCTGTGTGAACATTGCTGGAAAGACTTCTGAGCTCCAGTGGGCACAAATTTTAAGCTCCTCTGCTTGTAAGACTTGGTTGCAATAGCTGTGGATCGTTCATCTGGACAGAGTTCTGTGTCTTTCTTTCTGTACAGAGGATTATCAAATAGATTACATTAAAAGGTTTGTCACATTTTATTAGAAAAATAAAATTGTTCCTCTCGAATAAAAAAATGCAGCAAGAATGCATATTTCAAATGAGTCAGAAACTGATGGAACATGCAAGTTTCTTGCTATGAGTCCTCTGGTTGCTATGCAAGACAGTCGACTTTCTTCACTAGCCTCTTGGACTGTTTCTGTCGCTGACTATAACATTTTGTTCCTTTCACCAGTTATTCTTTATGTAAGCAAATTCTTCCCCAACTACTCATATGCCAGATGTGTTTTTTCTTCTGACCTCGTGGTTCTCAAGTTAGGAATGCATTCTAATTTTGGCATTGGTTCATTTTTTCTCCCGTTCCAGCATCTTTCTGTTGTATTTGCGTGGGAGTATTATAAATTATTTCCCTGGGGCTTGTGCTCCCATTATGAGTAAATTAAATAACGGTATGCAGCATGCAGTGTCCTTTGATGCTTTTGTTTGAGGCGATATACTACAGCTTAAAAAGCAAGTCCATCTTTAGATACTACAGAATCCCATGCATATCTACTCAGATGTAGATTGCATTGAATTCAGTGAGAGTTATTTCCAGGAAATAATTGGGCCTGTATCTCATTTTTATCAGAACTTGAGACTTGTGGAAGAATCCTGTGATTTGATCAGCTGGGAGATTGGATGGAAGTTCTGATGTCTTTCATTTCTTCCTGTTTCTTGTTTCTTCTATATCTTTTCATGTCTCCTAGCTCTGTGGCATTTGCAAAAACAGAAACATGTTTAAACCTATATCATAAAAACAACTAATAAGCAAAAGCAGTAATCATGAGCAATCTGTGGATCTTTATACTTTTGAACATATGATTTCCATTTCTTTGGTTTAATCACTTTTTAGTAGTGTGTGTATGTTGCTGAATGCAAAACAAATGAGCTAATGCAAATTGGGGGCATTGGGGAAGAAGAATTAATTATCTATGGCAAAACATTGGTGCTTTGTTTCCCATATAATCTTTTCAGAATTGGCTTGCTCAGTTTGTTACCCATGTGTGTCTTACTAAAGTATCAGGAAAAGGAAGTCAAGGCAGTTTAATTGAACTATTTAAGTATATCTCAGTGCTGCGCTTCTCACATTAAATGTGGAAATTTCTTTCTGTTTTGCATCTTTTTTAATAGTGAAAACTGTGGGGTTTGGAGAAATATGACTGGAAGCGTCTCGACCTCCTAGCTTGTTCAATCAGTTAAGACAAGCTAAACTTAACAAAGCCATTCATAACTTGACAGCCAACTCATAGTGAGGATAGGGTGTGTGTGGCTGCCATTTTGAATCTGCAGTGCTGGCTTGGGGCTTGCCATATTGCACAAACATGACAAATATGGATTATGCAGGGATAAACAACACTTGCACAATCTATGGTCTGTTTTAAAGTTCTCCAAAGGTTGACTGCTCCTAGTATATGCTTGCTTGCCAGGTTTGCACAGCATTGCAACCTCCAAGTGGGTCCTGGACTGCATATAATAACTGACAGTCGGGTGACATTCACTGATCCTTTCCTTCTTTTGGATTTAGTTCTACACTGAAGAGCTGGGGCATCCTCTGGCACAATGTGGGTAGTGGAGCATAGAGCTGCAGGTTGAAGAGGGAAATGCCCACCCGCCCGCCCCCTTCCTTCCTTCCTTCCTTCCTTCCTTCCTTCCTTCCTTCCTTCCTTCCTTCCTTCAGTGGAAACCACATGGAAGGTTAATGCTAGATCCGGCTTACTCTTGAAGAGTACCAGCTGGAATACATTCATTTCTTGGATTGGGCAATTCACAACAACATGTTGCAATACCAAGAATCGCTTTAAGCCCTACTTGGAATTTCTGTTCTGTGTACTCTTTTATTTTCGTGGTTAATCCAAGGAAAACATAAGTTTTCCTTCCCCAAGCTCAAATGAATTCATTTATATAAAGTGCATTTTATCCTAGCCCCTCCAAAATTTGAACAATTTGTAAAATAACGTTATAATAACATATAAGACATAATAAAAATAAGACTTCACATTTGTAGAGCTCTGTGCAGTTTTCCCATCATCAAAACCGGATTGTGTATTGTTGTTCATTGCCTAAAGAAGCTTTTGCTTTGATTGGCATTCAGATTTCTTTATAGCCATTAAAGGTATATAGATTGCTTGTCTAGTTGTGTTATTTACTGGTTACCTTGATGTGATTGATCTGTCTTTTACTGCATGCCATCTATTCAATGAAGCCATTCTCTACAAAACCTCATGCCTCAATAAATTGCCTCTAAGGTCCTGGTCAACTTCTGCTTTGTACTACCAAGGCATAATTCCACTGGATGTCAGTCTTACTCTCTGTGTGCAGCTAGAGCTAAGATGCCTTTTACTGAATGCTAAAATAGCTAGTCTAAAAGGGGGTTAAATGAAATTGTAATTTTAATTGTTCTCTCCCTCCCCACCAATTCATAACCATGTTATGCATTTGGCAAGTCATATTGTTTCGTACAGTACCTGTAACTTTACTGTGGCTGTAGCATTTGTGGGAAGATAGGCCTATAATTTGTTCTCTGTTAAGGTGATCAGAACATTCTTCTTCATGTTTGGAAATCCCCTGAACAGAAAACTGCTGAGAACTCAGTAAGCAAGATTTGTTTAATGTGTTTTCAGCAATTTTCGTAGGGCAGTACTTGAGAAAAGCCAGATGGACCAGTAAATGGTCCAGCAAGTCCATTGTAGTGGAAAAGAAACAACTGTAAACTAGGAATCCCATGGTTCAAATCTCAGTGCTACCGTCAATTTACTAGGTCACCCTAAGGGATTTCTTAGCCCTCCTCATCTGTAATGTGAGGCAAAGGATATGTATTCTACAGAGTTGTTGTAAGGATTATAGCAGTTTGTAATGTGTGTGAAGTGCTCTAAACACTCAAATGCTACATGTTATTGTTGAAATGATTGTTGACTTATGTTTCTATGATGAATGGAATTTTCAAGTAAAGGCTGAGTTTTCCTTTTCAGCAAATATTTTAGCTGAGGCTATAAATAATGTCATTATGCTGATTCCTTGTTGTTAGTAATAGTACTAACAATTGCTTGTCTCTCCTATTCTTTTGTGTTCTTCTGGTATTTGAATATTTCCTGTATTTATAGGTAGTGTCAGATATCATTTTTCTTTTGTGCTGATCAAATTGTACACTTGAACAATTAACTAAAATTGGCTTAATGCCTACATTAGGGTAATTATATAGTACCCTTACCAAATAGTCCCTGTTTAGCATTCTGCACACTGGATGCAAACATGCTCAAAATGCACATTAAATTTAATTTAGTTGCCTGTAGCTAGATAACCACTGAGTCAAGTACCACTGGGTCCATTTTCACATAATGTCAGCATTTGGTGGCAACTCATAGGCTAGTTATAATTAACCCATGATTTGTGGGTAGTGTTCTTGCATCAATCTCAGTTTGCAGCAACAATCTATGAATGCTTCATTTGTAGATTGTTAGTGTAAAATCTGAACCTGGTCATTTATTTATTAACTAAGCACAAACTATGGCTTTGAATTGTTTAACCCATGAACAACCCAATGTGTTTGGGTTTGGCTGTTACGCTGACAACCTTGAATGGGGCATTTTAGGTTGTTGCTGCAATCTGGAAGTGGTTTGCACTCAATAGATTACCCACAAATCATGGGTTAATTAACTTGTCACTGATTGCTGCTGTTTCATGTGAACAAGGTGGCTGTCTTTATATCCATCTGAATATTTCCTTGATTTAGAGGATCTAAAGGCTGCAGTTTCCTTGTTTGAAAATAATTAAGTTGAACCATCAGTGGGGAAGCCACAGTTTGTAGGGAACTAGCAGAAGCAATAGAGGGAAGCTTTTTCTGCCCATTACAGAAAAGCCAGGTCTTTTCCTTGTTGTGCCAGACACCCGGCTATTTTTTCACTTAACTCACAGTGCAACTGCTTCCTAACAAGCACTACTAAACTCCCTGCTGTTATTCTCCCCTCCACTGCCCTGTCCACAGCTTTAGTTAGACAAGGAAAATGGTTCTTCAGGATCAAATCATTAAGACTTAGGAAAGTCACTTTAAGGAAAAGTGGCTTATGTTGAAATTCTAAGAATCAATGACAAAATATCTGTTTTTCATTCCCTGAGGGTACCGTTTAAGGCAGCCTTTCTGAACCTGCTACTGTCTAGGTTTGGACCACAACTCCCAGGGTTTGTGACCATTGGCCATGGTAGTTGATATTGATCAGAGCTGAAGCCTGTTGCCTCTGGAGTGTACCATGTTGAACAGGGAAGCTTTAATTATTATTATTATTATTATTATTATTATAACATTTCTATGCCGCCCCTTGCCGAAGCCTTGGGGCGGCTTACAACACAATAAGATACATTGAAATACAATAGAACATAATAAATTACCAATAAATACAGAAATACAAAAAATACACTGAGATACAATAATATAAAATTAAAATTAACAGTATAAAATAAGTAAATAAAGAATATAGGAGGAGGAAAGAGAAGGAAGAGGAAGTTGCCCTGGCCAGATCATATATTTTAACAATTAAAATGATGTTTAAATAAAAAGGTCTTTACCTGGCGCCGAAAAACCAGTAACGACGGTGCCAGGAGGACCTCTTTGGGGAGTGAATTCCATAGGTTGGGTGCCACCGCAGAGAAAGCCCTCCTCCAAGTACTTACTCTCCTAATTTCTTTCATGGAGGGTTCCCGGAGAAGGGACTTGTAGTGCAGAATCCTAGTGCTGAGGCTATCAAACTGGATATCTGGATTTCTTTTTTTTAGATTGTGTTCTGTTTCACAGGCATGCAGCTGATTTAAACATCTTATTGAGAATATTTATGAGTAATTGTACAAAAAGTAGAATGTCACAAACCTTGTTTGAATGTTTGCTTGCAGAAACCAGTGGATGCTATCAGCAGTGAGGTTCAAAAACATGGAATGTACAGGCAAGAAAAGGTAAAAATCAAATACGGTTTCTTATGTGAATTTTTCTGTGGTTTAATAGTAATTAGTAGAAGGAAGCCTGCACGAGTATTTCAGCAGAATGCTTTGTCTCAGAAATCAGTCATCAATTTTGGTAACAAAAGCATACTGTCTGAGCTGCGAGAACGGTTATTATTAACATGTCCACTGTGTGTGCCCACAGTGAACGTCAAGATGTTTGGTGAAGGACAGACAGCTATCTGCAAACATAGGATTAACTGAAACCCAGGAGCTGCAATTCTCCAGGAATCCTGAGCATGCGTTTACAGTGGGCATGTTCACATGTCACACTAATCCTCCCTGCAAATAAACCACAGTGGGTTGATTATTTGCAGAATAATTTATGGTACGCCCAGTAGGTATTCAGGGTTGCTGTGGCTTATTCTCTCCTTCCTTCCCTCTCAGTCCTCCACTCAGTCATGGCATGGATTCTAGGGGTACCGTGGGTAAGCATTGCTGGTGCTGGTGTCCCATTTTCTCTGTTCCTTTCACCCACCCTTTATGACTGTTTTTTAACTATCAGGAATATTTGCACAATTTAAATAAATGGAAAAGGAAAGCTGGGAAGTAAATGGAAGGGTAATTTGTGCACCTGCAGCAACAGAGCTTGTTGCCATTTACTTCACAGGGTTTTTTTAACAACTGAAGTGGCAGAATGGGATGAAGCAAAGGGAGCATCAGCACCTGCAATACTTACCCCCATGAAGTTCCATGCACTTCATTCCACGCAGGCTTGTTAGTTTAAATAAAAGCAAGACACAAACACTTTCAGGGAATTCTAAAAAGGAGCCAGGGAAGCCTGTGTGCAAGAGAGGTAATATATCTCCTTTAGGGAGTGACTAAAGCATTGAGGAAGTGTTGAACAGGGTGAAAGATACCAAGATGTGTCAGTTCAGCACTTAAAATGCAGGGGAATCACATCTTCAAGGTGGAGATATTGTCCACCACCCACTTATAGTGCATTTGCTCCTTTGCCTTCACTCCCCCAACTCTATTTTTTGTCCTTCCAAATTGTATAACCGGGTTCCTTCTTTCTCTTACTATTATGTCTTCTCCTGTCCTTTGCAACTGTGTGTAAATTAGCTTATATGCAACCTTGTTTTGTCAGTTTCCTTATATGTTACCTACTCTACATCTCTGCTCCCTTGGATAGCTGATACAGGTCAAGAAATTGACCTAGCATGACTATAGGTATGAGGCAAGCATAAGAGTGTGCTTGAGAAAAAGCCAACAAAATCACCACCACCATCGCCCCAGTTGCACACTTTTGAGGCACCAAACTATAACAATAGTAATTCTAAAAGCTAGGGAACAAGAGATGGTCCTTCCAAAGTGCCCTTGGTGAAAGAGTTGCCAGTGGCGAGGTTGTGGTGAGTGAACAGTGTGGGTGTTTTGCCTGCTCTTGCTGAGTGACTCAATAGGCAATCATAGCAGCCTATGATAAAATTAGCCTCCTGGGTTCAGATGATACAACAAACTGCCATAGTCAAGAACAACCCTACAACAAGCTTCACATTCTGTATGGCTAGTTGTTGAAAAATAAGCCATGGAAAATGTTCCAGGTTCAGCTGATATGACAAGCAACCGTAGCTGGCCACCCATGGTGGGTAGTCATGTCAAGGGGACTCAGTCAGTGTGTTGCAGGCATACATCTCCCTTTCACTTAGAGAGAAATGCTGCATGTTCCTCAAATTTTCCTTATGTGAAATAGCTTCAAGTTAGGATTTGAACCTGGATCTTTCTGAATTCTTTTCTTCCTATGAGTGGTCTATATGGACTGAGCTGGAAAGTATGACTCAGTATTCAGTTGGCTAGGAAAGTACAATTTAGATATTTTAACAGTTTGATCAACATTGCACTAAAGTTATGTTTATCCACAGTGTATATTCATACATAAATTATCAAAATGTAAGTGAGGTAGAGCACTTTATGAGTTGTGCTGTCAGTGAACCAAAAACCTCTGAACTCAGAGGTTTCTGTTTGTCTAGTGACTTACTGAGCTGCTTCTACCAGAGCGGGAGGAGTGGTAAAGGTGATTTTAGCTCTCCCTCCCTCCCTCCCTCCCTCCTAGGAGGAGAGGCCTCTGTGCCTAGTGAGGGTGTGGCGGGGCATGACTGGGGCTGGAGAGGTCATAAGATTGTTCATATTCTGATCTTTGTCCACTGGCATGCCTGCTTTCTAACCTCTTTCAAGGCTGCTTCTGTGACCTTGGGAAGCATCTAGAACAGTTCTTTGTATGACAACTGCAAGAGGGCAGGTTGCAAGCTGGAACTGGATACTAGATAGCAGTATCTGCAGCCTTAGAACAGGGAATCTGAAGAATCATAAGACCCCAACATGTTATCCTGCAGCCATAGGATCTTGTATCTCTGTAAGCACCATTTCTCTCATACCACATGTGATGCTCTGAGGATCAGGTACTAGATAACTCCCAGGCCTTTTCATCAAATAAACCTTAAGATGTTTAGAACTTTGGTTTTTTAAAGCACCATTTTGTATTATTTAATAGTTTTAATATCGTAAGTCTTGGATTGGGAGAGTGTTGATAGACTGATTTGGAGATAAAATGTTGATGCTTCTCTGATCAGCACTGAGTTTCATTCACAGTTGCAGTGCAAAGATTGGAAGGATGCATTCACACAACTCTTCACAGATGGTTGGACACTCTTCTTTTCTGAATGTCTTTTCCTACTATTGGTTTTTTTAACCTTCATGCAGCATGGTAAGCAATGGTTTTTCATCTTCCAGCAGTCAGAGATGGATTTTGGAGAAATTCCAGATAAACAGAAAATTCAAGAAATGGAAACCCCAGAATTGGTCAGAAGGCAGCAAGAACAGATAGATGAAGCCAGTCTTGCCAGTACCCTTCAACATATTGTGGGACAGCTGGATGTTCTCACCCAGGTATAGAATGCTTTCAGGAGTTCTAATGAACCCCCAGCTAATGTCTTCATAAAACCTGTGTTGATAGTTGCAAAGAAGAACCAGTTTTAAGAAGCTGGTGGATAAGTTTTTGAGATATTCCATTTCAAGGTTCGGTTATGGGCAGTACTTCCTTTTAACTTGTCCTCGGGTAATAGGAGCAAATGCAGGTGGTTATGATTCACACAATAGCCATTAAGTTCAAGTCATGAATGTTTGAACAATGAGCTGCTGCCTATGACACAAATAGTAACTTCTCATTCTATGTACTCATGGAAAAATAAATCCTTGAGTTGGACTTCACAAATGGCAGCCAATATATTTTCCCCTAAGTAGAAGTGACCCTAGGGTGGTCATATCTAGACAGTGGTGAGCTGATTTTTAAAGAAATTTGGGTGCTTTTTTTGTTTTTGCCTTAACCACTGCTTCTTTAACAGTGTGCAAAGCTGAACTACTTGGTAATAGTTTGTTTTTGTATGGAGTAGTTTCCCAATTGGCATTTTCATTGAAAGGTTTGCTTCAGAATAGAAAGCTTGTAAGACCCAGCTTCTGCTGATACCTGGCACCGGTTACCTGTTGTTGGATGGCCAAAGGTATTAGGTGCTACTTGTCCCGTGCCTCATTTGTAAATAGCTTTCATGGAAACAACTTTCTCGTTCCTCTTTCCATAGTATGGGTCCCCCTATTTTATTTCAGTATACCTAATCACCCATCCGAAGAATAATCCAATACAGCAAATTGAATATGCATTCACTGAGCAGAAGCAGTTAGGCAAATGAAAAGAAGTTCCCAAGTGTGCATATTAACATTGCAGAACATGTATTCTATAGGTGAAGGCTGCTAGCGAAAAAAAATAGAACAGCTCTTGAGTTGAAGTTGCCAACACTGAGTGATTCTGTAATATGGTGAGACTTGCCCATATTTATCCCCCACTTCCACTACTTTAGCATAACAATAGGAAGGAGGGAAAGTTAAAAGAAGAAAGCAAAACTGAATGATTAGAATGTTCAGGAATCATGAAACTCTTGTACTGCTGTACTTACCATTCTACCCTAAATGATAAAATGCAGTATTATGACTTACACTAGCAGCTGAGGTTGAACCCGTTATCCCTGTCAAAGATTTGGTATCCACAGTAGATATCTGCACCTGGCTTTGTTTTAATCTTTAACTGTATATGGGAAGAAAACTGTTCAGCACTCAGTCTAGATGCACAAAACGTCAAAATCAACTCAGTTCATATTTTTGTCTGTGAGTTCAGTTGTTTTCCTTGGTTATAATGTGAACTGCCTTGAATGCCTCCTACTGTGGCAAAATGGCAGGATATAAATGTTTGTTTAATTAATTTGAATTTATCATTGTGTTAAATAGCTTCCTTCTGCCAGACATATATCTGTTCATTCAGTTTAGAGGCCACCCTGTAATAAAAAGGTCACAGGTCACAAAATAAAACAGGCTAAAAACATAAATGATAATGTAATACATACAGGGCTTCAGGAAATAAAATCACAATGATACCAGTTTTAAAAGCCTGAGAGGATAGGGTTGTCTTTGCCTGGCACCTAAAAGATTACACTGGAGTGCTGGGCAAGACTCCTCAGGGAAGGTATTCCATAAGTGAGAAGCCCTCTGCTGTGGCCATTTGGTGGAGGATCCCAGAGGAGATGAGTTAGTGGGGCAGGGGGGTGAGTAGATAGAGGAGGGACATTTCTGGCCCCCAGCTGTTTAAGGGACTCAAGGTCAAGACCAGCACTTCCAACTGGGTATGGAAACAGACTGCAAGTGCATTTTGGAATGGTGAGGCTGGAGTGTCTTTCAATCTTGAGAACAGGATGTGCATAGTCAGCCTGGCTTTTCCAGCTGTAACATGTCAGCTAAAGAAGGATGGTTTTATTGGAGCAAGATACGGGCTACTGATGCCTTGCTCAACAATGACATCTTGAGAATCATCCCTTTTGTACTTCGTGATACATCATGCACGCAGCTTGATCTGAATGTCAGTACTGCATTCAGTCCAGAGAGTTTCTTCGAAGGATCTTGCATAGATTCTTTAGAAAGGCAGAGACTGAAATTAGCCGTAGTCCTTATAGTTCTCTTATACTTATTTCACTAATGTAGGCAAAAGACACAATGTTAATACTGACTTTTATTCTTTGTTCATAGCATTAAAATATAAGCTGTAGAAATATTTGCTTGCTATCTGTATAAATTATGTTTTGCACTGAAAATTGTGCTAAGTTTCTGATAGCAGAGGGTGCCTCTTAGCCAGATGGCTATGTTGCAATGAATGCAAAAAGTCCTGTGGCATTTCTATGAAGATAGATTTATTGGGTTGTTAATATTACTCTGATCAGTACCATAGAATGATCAGTAGAGGGCCCTAAAATACAACATGCCATATTGAAAGAGAAGCTTTGTATGGGCATTCTAATATATCTGAACTTCATAGTCAAGCTCATACATGATTCCTTTAAATATGTGTGTTTATCATTCATAGAAGGCATCAGAATGATTAAGGAGGTTACTGATGCTAGCTGCCATTTTATTTCTTCTTTTATGTCTATTATTTTATATTTGTTTGGCATCATTCAGCTCATCTTGCAGGATATTCCCCTCTGAAGTCATTGCTGCACACAATGGAGTAGTAATTTTGGTATATACTGAAAAGTGGTACCCAATTTATTTGTCTGTGGATGGCAAATCTAAATAGTCCTGGCTGTATTATACTTTCACTGCTAGAGAAACTTTTCATTGCTACGAAAGAGAACTTGGGATGTGGCTATGCAGATAGGACCTGCCTTAGTTTCATCAGCTCCCTATTTGCTGTGGCAGCAGGCAAGTAGGATTGCTCACAAGCAAGACACTTGCATGCCAGTAGTGACCCTGAATATGCACTTCTACTTTCTTCCATAAAAGTTAATTGCGGCAATTCATTCCTGCGAGGCAGAATAAAACACTGTGTGGAATAATAACATGGTGGGCATTCCTGTCTTTGCTACCATCTTTGAGGCTTGGTGGAGTGCCCCCCATTGATGGGGAACCCATAGAGAGCCCTCTTTTCTCTTTCCCCCTCACCAAGCAAAATATTTTTTAGATAGTATGACCTCTGCCCTTACCAAACACACCTTCTGGTTTGGAGAAATTGGGGGTAGGGGCAGACATGGAAAATCAGAAGTATCTTAGATGTTACTCTGCCTGCTGCATTGGCATCCATAAGCAGCCTGGACAGGTGGACGGTGGACTTGTGGGAGGGCCTGTGGTTCATGCCTGCCCTGCCTCTCAGATGTGACTGGCCTTCAGCACATAGGTCATTACGGGCTGTATTTTCTTGACACCATGACATTTTCAGAGGGGGCAGGCTTATGGCCTTGGATGGGGTGATTCTTTGGCAAATTTTATTTGAGTTTGCTTTTCTTATCTGGTGTGTAATGGTGACAGTAACTTATGGAGAGCAGCAAGAACACACACATAATGCAGTGAAACAAATGTTCTGTTCACCAATCAGCTTTACCCTTGTGTATCAGCACCTTGCATATGAATTGAGATGTTTCAACTTTGTGTGACTTTTTTGTTGTAATTGTGGCTTTATGCTGTTGGAAGTCTTGTTTATGCCTTAAACCATATGCTTGGATATAAATATGAGGTGCAGTGTAGTCTGTTCACATTTTTACTCAGAAGTAAGTCTCACTGAGTATGTTTTTGTCCCAGATAAGGGGAAAACAGTTGTTTTCTTAAACTGTCAGTCTTAAAGCACCTTTTTCATTTTGCAGACTGTTTCCATTCTAGAACAAAGGTTAACATTAACAGAAGACAAGCTGAAGGAGTGTCTTGAAAATCAACAAAAAATTGCTCAAAGTAAATCCAATTGATCCTCCAGAGAGCTGATGAATCCAACAATGTAGGAGTACATGTGCATTCTGAGAATTTTGTGTGAATGGTTTCAAAAGGAAAATATTTCCTATTTTATTAGACTAAATTGTACAGTTCAGAGTATTTGTAAATACATTTATATTAAGATTAAACTTTCTCTTATTAAAAGATCGTAATTTGTGATGTTTGGCTTTACCATGTGAGTTCACAAGTTCATTTGGAAGTAACATCAGTCGCAGTTCTCAGAACTGCTGTCTTAAATGGTATGCATCCTTAAGTTGAAAATGATACGTTTCTAGAACCTACTGAAGTAGACTGGTTGAGGAGCAGAGGGGAGCAAACATAGACTGGAGAACTATGTGGGAGTTTCCTTCCAACACTGAATTCCCTCAGTGCCGAATAAGTTCTTCAGTCCAAATGCACTACAAGTATTCCAAGTAGAAATGTGAATCACCCTTGGGGGAGATTCCGTTTGAAGCCTCAACTGCTAGAACAACATTTTAAAATCTGAAAGTCCCTTGTACAAAACGGTCCTGGAATGCAGGATCTATATATCTACTTTTTCAATAAAGTTTAACCTTCACATGAAATACACCAGCAAATCAGATCCAATTTCGGTCCAGTTACTTGTGAATATTACTTGTCTAACAATTAAATATCAGATCCCTTGACTTCTTTTTCCCATGTGTATATATGTGTACGTAGACTCTGCTAGCTTTGTATGCATGGCGATTTGTTTTAGCATAGCCACACCTTTGGTCATACTGATAAGAGTACTAGGAATCACCTTAAATGCAGGGGAACTACGACTGGGCTGACGTGATGTTACTTTTCTGGTGTGGGAGGCACTGCTGCAAAGGTAGCTTCAGATACATAGAAACACAGAAACAGAACAAGTCAGAAGGGGCTTCCCGGGCCATCTAGTCTGACCCTCAGCTCCAGCTGGCTCATGACATGCCTACCCATGTGCATGTCCAGCCTATTCTTGAACACCCTCACCAATGGAGCTTCAACCACCTCCTGTGGAAACCCATTCCATACCCAGGAGTCCTAATCATCAGGAAGTACTTTCTGGCGTCCAAACTGAAACTTGGGTCCCTGAGCTTTGCTCC